TTTAGCTTTAACAAAAATTTGGAGGAGAGAGAGAGAGAGAGAGAGAGATTTCTAGAGACTAAGAGAAGGAAGAAGAAAAAGAGAGAAAAGAAAGAGAACTCTAGAGAGAGCTCAAGAAGAAAAGAGAATGAAGAGAAATTAAGCAAATCTTCACCAATTTGATTTCATATAGAATCACAGCTCATTGGACCACTTGTTATATATTTTTATATTAAGCTTCTGCTAGCCCTGATTATTTTGATTTGTACAAGACAACCTTTGATAATCTTGGATTACTGGCTGGTTTTTGGAAAAATAAGTAAAATAATAATAATAATAATAACAATTCCCAAACACATCAGATTTTAAAATTTTAAAAAACTAATTTTTAAAAAAAATTAAATTCCACCTTAAAATCTTTTTTAAAAATGGAACTTTGTTAGAATGACTTCGTGAAAAGACTTTCACAAGAAAACTTGTATTTGAAGAAATTTTTCTGAAAGTCGTTTGAAGCCAATTTTTCAACAAAAGTGACTCAAATTTATTTGAGACCCCCAAGGCGAAAAATCTAATTGGGGCCCTTCATTAATTTTTATGCAATTATTTTTTTATTTTTTAATACTAGTTTTTATTTTCTAATACAATAATTTTTTATTTAAAAGTCATAGCAATATCTCTAACCTTCATAATCAAAATAATTTTTATAAGCAAGTCTTTTTGTCTTGAATGAGATAACGAAAAAAGTGTAAATGTGATGATGAGACTCTTTTTGAATCCAATGAGAGGTTTTGGTCAATATGCAATATGCAACCCCCATATTGTCTCCATTAAATATACTAACAAAATACAATGACGAAACTAATTTTGTTGTTTAAATGCCAAAAGTGCCCTTGATATCATTGTAACCACACACACCCATCTCATAACTTCACACCACAATCAAACCCCCAATACCCCCTCTGGCCCCACTGCCTCTTCCCTTTGCATTACTCTTCCCTGCTAAACTGCGACTACCCAACCTCATAAATCTCTTTTTCTTTATTTTTTCCCTCTAAAATGCATTGAATCTTTCTCCTCTCTCTCAAATAGGGGTGAGCATGGTCCGGATTGAACTAGATTGGGATAAAACCAGGACCAAGAAGCTGAGTACTATCTGAGTGAGCCCAGGCGCACATGAGAGAAGCTACTATCCAAGTGAGCCCGAGCGCAGGTCGACGTGAGCTCGGGCGCACGACGCGTAGGAAGTCCAAAAAATATAATTCTCATGCTTGTTTTGAGCCCAATCCAATCCTAATTAAGAGAGAACTATAAAAGGATGACTTAGGCTTAAAAAATTGGAGTTCTTCACATATTGAAAGACTGCACAATAGGCAAGAGGGAGACAACCCAAGGTTCTAAGGATGGAGATCTCCACATCCATGGTGTTTTTCACCTTCTCCATGGGCAACTAATGTTCTTCCTTAGGGTGTAGATGAAACCCTAGCCAAGTAACCTTATTTTGTGTATTTGCTTTTGGGATTGATTATTAATACAATAATTGTATAATTTTGAGACAATTTTCTACTCAATTAAATTTATTCTTCCAATCTTGTTTGATGTATTTAATTTCTGTGATTTTAAATTATACAATAGTAATCTTTGTGCATGTGTTTAAGAGTTGAGATAATTCATGCCTAGAGAAGAAAAGACGTGCTACAATCCTAGTTTAGTGTAGACGTTTCTTGCCAATCTAAGATAAGTTATACCTAATTCTTAAATTCATGAATCCTCTTAAAGACACTGTTACGGCTGGCAGCCACGACAGGTCACTATTGTATTAAGCAATCAATTCTCGAAATTGATAAAATGATTATCATTATGAAGCTAGAGGTGGATTCGAATCCCCAAGTATTTTTATATTGAATTACCCATTTAACTTTTATTTTTAATTAGTTTTCATCTTTCACTTCATAAAACCTCATTCTCTCGAATTAATTTAAAAAGAGATTTCCAAGATTTAAAACAACTCAACCTTTTGTCCTTGAGGATCGACATCCAGACTCGAAACTATTCTATTTGAATTAGGGTTTAAGCTCAGTTCAATATTTTATTATTTATTTTTGGTGTGCAAAACGATCGATCAGAAATCTACCTCCCAATTGCTTCCACTTGTATCCAGATTTTTTTTTCTCTAAAAGTGGGTAATGGAGAGAGTGTCCGATTCAAGGAGGATGTTTGGGTGGGTAATTCCTCTTTCGATGGGATATTTCCACATTTATTTCGTGTGGCTTGTCCTCATAATGCTTCCATCGCCTCTTTAGTTTGCTCTAGTTTGGCACCGATTTCATGGAATTTCAGTTTCATAAGAAATCTTAATGATCGGGAAATTGTTGAGTTGGCATCATTGTTGTCCTTGCTTCATGAAGTCTCATTGTCTCCAAATGTGTCTGATAAGCGGGTTTAGTCAATTCACTCCTCTGGTGACTTTTTAAGCAAATCTTTCTTTGACAAAATCAGCGATAAACCCAAGGTTCCTCCTTCTACTCACAAAAGAATCTAGAAAGCAGCAGTGCCTCTTAAAGTGAAGATTTTGATGTGGTCTTTGGCTCATGGCAGAATCATGACTAATAATACCTTTCAAAAAAAGAGGCCTAATCACTATCTTTGTCCTCAATGATGCATCATGTGTAGGCAAAGTGGGGAATCCTTTGAGCATTTGTTCTTGCACTGTCACATGACCTTGGATCTTTGGCACCAACTCTTTTGTTTGGTTGATACTTTGGGTTACGCCAAGCACTTGTGCTCAATTGATTTTAACTGATTTTTGTGGATTTCGAGGTAAAAAAAAGAGCAAAAGTGTTGTGATTTTATGGCATTGTCAATCTTTTGGGTCATTAGGTTGGAAGGAACGCAGGGATCTTTGAAGACAAGTTTGAAGACACAGAGTCATTATGGGATAGAGTGTATTACTCAGCTTCATTCTGGGCCTCCATTTCGCCAGTGTTTAAAGGGATTCCACGTTTATTGATATCGAGGGATTGCACACCTATTTGTGATGTATAGTTTGTTTATCTTTGGTTAGGCTTCTTATTGTGTATATTCATTTTGAGAGGACTCCTTGTCCTCATTATGTACTTCTTGTTAATCTATAAAATTTTCCTTTTGTTGTTGATCCAAAAAAAGAAAGAATGAGAGAACAAAGAGACGGAAAGACGAGGCTAGGATTTCAGTAATGAAACAATATAAAAAACTCCAACAATTTTAATGTAAAAATATTTTTGATAAACTCAACACAACTAGCTCCAAAATATCACAAATAATATTTTTTTAATGTTTGACTAGCCAAAATCACCAAAACTAAAATAGCTAATTCGATTGTTAGTTTTAAATTTTGGGGATTTACTCAGTATTTTATTTTAGCTAAAAAATAAAAATAGTTAGTTTGATGGAGATGCTCTCAATGATGTTCAACAGAACCATGCGGCTGCTTTTAAATCTATGTTTTGCCCAAGAGAAATAATAAATAAAAAAAACTATGGAACCCTCAACAAATTACCAAATTCAACTAAAGGCAGTATAATGAAGGATTACCACAACCAAAATAACTATGTCAACAAAAACAATAAGTAGATAAACCAACCAACCACCAGCCTAATCAATAAAACTAATGCTCCATTTGTTTGGTTGGAAAATTGTTTTCTGCATTTTCTGGTGTTTGGTACAATAAAAAACAAAAGTCAACAAAACACTCTTTCCGTGATCAACAGAAAACAAGCCTATATGAGAGGAAGATGATTTCCACTTTTAAAATGAGGAAAACCTTTTCCTGTGGAAAACGTTTTCCGGACTTAAGTATTACCAATGCCACAAAACTACCACTACCACCACCACCACCTTCATTGCTGCTGCCACCACCATCACCCTCCCCTCAACACCAACACCAACACCACCACTACCTCCACCCCACCACCACTACTCCACCTCCACCTCCACCATCACTACTGCATAACCACTAATACAATCATTAGTACATTAGTTTCAAGAACCCAACCAAACATAGAGAGACATTTTTTCTTAAAATGTTTTTCGTAGAAAAATGTTTTCCCTTGAAAAATGGTTTTTTGTCTAAACAAATGGAGTGTAAGTTACAGTAAAAATACGAGTACAGAGGCCCATATTTGTTGCATTTTACTAGGATAAATGAACCAATAAGGAAATGAACAATATATAAAAGGTGACATGATTTATAGGAAATTGCTAAAAAAATGTGAAACTATCATTGCAATTGTAGGAATTTGTACTCAACTCACTACACCATAACAATATCAAATTTTATCCTCACAAGAATGATTCTAATGACTCACCGACAAATGGAGCTTCTGCAGAAGAGGAGAAGCATTTAAGAGCAAAGTAAGAGAGAGAAGGTTAAAGTCTGATGATACCATAACAAACAACTCCAATTGTTTGAGAGAGTTGAATCTAGTTATCCTTGCAGGTATTGGGAAGACCTGAAGAGAAAAGAAGAAAAAAAGTTTTATATAGAAAAATATCCCATTTTCATACACAAAATGAAAAAGTACACAATAAAGAGTAATAATTCTTTCATTTTTTCCTGACCTCATCTGTTGTCAAAACTAGTGATAGGGTTTGAAGCCGAGGAAGATCATTTGCAATTCCATTGAACATATATTGTGTGCCCCTCTCATATGCAACCATGAACTTGATATGCACTTTTTCCAACCGAGGGACATCAAGAAAAGAGAAGTTTTTCACTTTACCAATATATTCAAATATGGTAAGACCAATAGAAGAAATCTCAAACTTCTCTACTCCATAACATTCATACACAATCAAAATCTTCAAATGGAGGGATGGACCATGAATGCATAAAGTTTCAGGCAGAATACTGTTCTTTAGCCTCAACCATTCAAGGTTTAAACAACTAGAAAGGATACTGTTGGCACAACTTTGATTTAGAGGCACATGTTCTAAATCAAGGGATTTTAGGGAGACGAGCCTGCTTACGAGATTAGGGGTGGGCCTTAGGCTGCACGATTTTAGGCACAAATACTTTAATTGAGATGAATCACCTTGAGGAAGAAGTTGACAGGGAAAATCATATAACTTATTACTTTGACTTTCAGGACTAGCAAAAAACTCAAGATCAAGCTTTTCAGTTTTCATTATAATTGCAAATGTAATCCACCTATCAACATAACCAGAGTACTCGTTACCAAGACAAAAATAGATCCTGAGAGAGAGTAGCTTTTGACCATTGTACAGCTCCAAAAATTGATCAACTTCAGTTACAAACTTACTCTTATCCTCCCATGAGATATCTGAATCTCCATTTGAGTACCTTGCTTTGTAGTTGATTCCGAGCACGGTATGAAGATCAAAATCAAGATTCAACATGAATGGACAGATATATCTCCATCTTCTAGACAGTATCCTTGCCTTGACAGAATCTCTAATACTCAAAAACGAGAGAATGAAAGAGAGAATGTCATCTGGCATTTCAGTAAGACAATCAATGGGTTTGAGGTCATTGCCCTAACATATTTCAACCAAAGAACATGTATATTAGCAAATAATAAATTACTTTAATGGGCACAAGTATTTTCACAATTTCTAACCACCATACAGAAGCCAAAGTGGCATAGATTGGTCTTTTCCCCAGAAGAATTATTGAGGGATTATGTTCCTTGGAGAAAACCGAGACAAAAGTAGCATTAGCAGTGTTAGCATATCTACACTTATATTCATGCATGATCATCTTATAACCTATAGCATCTCTATTTAGTATAGTCATTAAGGCGTTTACTTTCTAACTATGGTGAAATATCCTATTATCTGTTGTTGTATTAGGCAAGTTTCTTTGCCAAGGAATGAAAGATCGTTAACCACCTCCCTTTGGATCTCTTTGCAATGTTAATATAAACATTTGAACACTTAGCTACGTTGTTGTTGATGGTTTCAACTTTCAACCAAGATGTAGTGCAAGCTCTAACAAAAACTGCTTGATTTGCGAAACTAATTGGCATTGTAGTGTAAATCATATGTGTTTTTCTCATGAAGCATTGACAATACACACTGTTGGGGTTGTAGTTTGACCTAGTAATGCTCTTCCATGAGACAGATAGGGAATGTATTGTAAATTGGTCTCGTTAACTTGTTCAAATTGTCTGACCATTTACAGACACAGATAAATTATTTGTTATTATTTTAGTGGAAATATAATAAAGTCAAAGATAGTATTTCTCATATAAAATTTCTAACTCTCAACGGTAATTTGGTTGGATCATTTTCAATATTAAGATGTCAATATATTGTCCAAAAAATAGCACAAAATAACTTGCATTTTCTCTTATAATAAGGCAGCAGTTAACACTTATCCCATATAGAAATCTACAAAGTAGGGTCATGCTTATATTATGGGACAGATACGGACCACTCCTATGAACCGGACTTATTTACCAATAAAGCCTGCTCAAACTTTCAACGATTAAAAATAGAACAAAAATAAATCAAAATTCACAAACAAAAATCAAAATGTCCATATCATTTATGACTTTTATAAATTTTTCAACATCATTAGCAGTACCAAATGATTATTTCACAAACATAAAATATAAAATATACATCTAAAAAGTCTAAAAATTCTCATTATCAAAGCGAAAGGCAAACACGTAAAATTGTTTACTCAAGACCTATGAGTCTGGTCCAGTCCATAAGATCCGATGGTAGGACCACGAACTGAACTGAGACAGGATTTTACACTATGGAGATTCTATAAGATTGATCATACTTTTTATATTTTGTGTCATAATATCTGTTAATATATAAATATAATTGTATATAATTACAATATAAGTTAGTAATATATTATAATGACAGCATAGGATTCCCTTTCGGCCCTTTCGGTGGTGCGCCATCTTTCGGCCACTTTTTTCCTTATTATATTCAAAGGTATCATCATCATGTTTGTAACAAACTCCTATATTAAGGAGCCTCACAGACTGAATTCATAACTGAGAATTTACATTACAATTCTCTTTCAATATTACTCTCTCAATTTATAATTTGTCTTTCAATATTTGTTTTTCATGGTATCAGAGCATAGGTATTTTTCCTAAGTCTCTACATCACATCTTTCGTGGCAGATTGCTGCGTACATCTCCCTTACCTCATACACAGATTGGAGGGTACCAACACCTTCGTCTCTCCACGACGAAGCCAACGCCACCAGATTCATCCTCATCTGACGTCACACGCGCCCTCACGCGCCATCAGAACATTCGGCCACGCGCCTAATCGTTCCAGACGCGCTCCACGCGCTTCCTACACTGTCCTGTGCTATTGTGCGCCGCGGCCTCATCTGCTAACGTGAGCCGCGTGTTCTGACGTCAGCCCTGACTGCTTCCGTGCGCCGTGTGTCTTCACCTGCTAACGTGCGCCGCGCCACTCTCTGCTAACGTGCGCCGCGCCATCCTGTTTGACCAGCAGCGTTGACTACTCCATTTTAAGCCTTTCTGGTCATATTTTTGGTCCGTTCACTCCTTTTCTGACTAATTTTGACCCTCTGAATTCACTGGTACTCTCGGTTTTTTCCGATTCTCCCTCATTTGTACTATTTTTCGCTCATGGATCGCTTGGACTCCTCTACCCAACCTATTTCTGTTATTCTTGACGGGACTAATTATGTCTTATGGGCACAAGCTATGTCTGGCTTCCTCAAAGGAAAGAAACTTTGGCGCATCATCACTGGGGATGTGTGCAAACCCGTTCAAGGGACCATAGATTCTGCTACCACGGACTCCGCTGCCAAATATGTCGATCGACTGGAAGATTGGGATAGTAAAAACTATCAGATCATCACTTGGTTTCGCAACACTTCTATTACATCTATCAGCCTTCAGTTTGGTCGGTTCCAACTTGACTCTGCTTCCTCTCCTGCCAAAGCCATCTGGGATTTTTTACAAGAACGCTATCGAACTACTAGCCTTGCTCACCAATATCAGCTTCTGAGTCATCTTCACGGTATGCGTTAAGAAACAACTCAAACCATTAATGATTTTCTCTCTCAAATGTATTATGCTTGGGATCAGCTCGCTCTTTCTGAACCTTCGTGGGATTGTACTAAGGATGCTACCTTGTTTACTGCCTACCGTGACCAACAGCGCTTAGTTCAGTTTCTCATGGCTCTCACTCCCCGATTTGAGCCAGTCCGCGCATCTCTCCTTCATCGCACTCCTTTACCCACTCTTGAGCAAGCAATTTCTGAACTCTTGTCCGAGGAAACCAGATTTGGTACTCTCCATCCACACCCTGTGGACTCTGTTCTTGCCACTCCCCAGATTCGAAGTTCTCCCTCCTCACCATCACCACAGAGGTCCAATGCCTGCAATTACTGTCACAACCGCAATCTTCCGTCGACTCATCTTCTGGTTAATTGTCCAGTTCGTCTTTGTCGGTTTTGCAACAAGACCGGCCCTGGTCATCTCCAACAAGATTGCTTCCGCAATCCCGCCCGTGCCTCTCAGAAGAAATCTCAAACTTCTCTACTCCATAGCATTCATGCACAATCAAAATCTTCAAATGGAGGGATGGACCATGAATGCATAAAGTTTCAGGTAGAATACTGTTCTTTAGCCTCAACCATTCAAGGTTTAAACAACTAGAAAGGATACTGTTGGCACAACTTTGATTTAGAGGCACATGTTCTAAATCAAGGGATTTTAGGGAGACGAGCCTGCTTACGAGATTAGGGGTGGGCCTTAGGCTGCATGATTTTAGGCATAAATACTTCAATTGAGATGAATCACCTTGAGGAAGAAGCTGACAGGGAAAATCATATAACTTATTACTTTGACTTTCAGGACTAGCAAAAAACTCAAGATCAAGCTTTTCAGTTCTCATTATAATTGCAAATCTAATCCACCTATCAACATAACCAGAGTACTCGTTACCATGACAAAAACAGATCCTGAGAGAGAGTAGCTTTTGACCATTGTACAGCTCCAAAAATTGATCAACTCCAGTTACAAACTTACTCTTATCCTCCCATGAGATATCTGAATCTCCATTTGAGTACCTTGCTTTGTAGTTGATTCCGAGCACGGTATGAAGATCAAAATCAAGATTCAACATGAATGGATAGATATATCTCCATCTTCTAGACAGTATCCTTGCCTTGACAGAATCTCTAATACTCAAAAACGAGAGAATGAAAGAGAGAATGTCATCTAGCATTTCAGTAAGACAATCAATGGGTTTGAGGTCATTGCCCTAACATATTTCAACCAAAGAACATGTATATTAGCAAATAATAAATTACTTTAATGGGCACAAGTATTTTCACAATTTCTAACCACCATGCAGAAGCCAAAGTGGCATAGATTGGTCTTTTTCCCAGAAGAATTATTGAGGGATTATGTTCCTTGGAGAAAACCGAGACAAAAATAGCATTAGCAGTGTTAGCATATCTACACTTATATTCATGCATGGTCATCTTATAACGTATAGCATCTCTATTTAGTATAGTCATTAAGGCGTTTACTTTCTTACAATGGTGAAATATCCTGTTATCTGTTGTTGTATTAGGCAAGTTTCTTTGCCAAGGAATGAAAGATCATTAACATTATCTTTTCTTCGGGTGTCTTCACTCATAAACAAACCCACTACATGATCCATGCTCAAATTTTTCGAATGGGTAGAATTGCTCACTACAATAACCAACGAATTCCAACTACCAAAAAGACTCGATAGTAGTGCTATGGCCTTGACTTCTTTGTCAAACGAGATACTAACTGATTCCAACTGACTAATTAGTGAGTTGAAATCATTAATATGTTTAATCGCAACTCCTCTTTCGGACATCTTTAAGTTGAGCAACTTGCTGATCAAATGGACTTTGTTCATGGTTGAGGGTTTCTCATACATTCATGACAGAACAACAACCATCAAATCTTCGGTTGTCTTTTCATTGGGAATATTAAACACAACTGATGTAGCAAAGGATAGTCCTACCGTAACCAAGGATTCTAGTCAAGTACCTCCCACTCACTGGTCTTCAGGAAGATAAAGATCCTTCTGTTAGAGATAATCCTCTATCTGCATCTTCCACAATCCGAAGTTTTAACTGCTAAATTTTTTGATCTTTACTTTGCCTTCATCCGCCATCATTCTTACTGTAGGAACTATCGCTTTGATACCACTTGTTATGGTATATATGATTAATACCAAATTCCAAGATCTGAGTAAATAATCACGCACACAACGAATCTAGAATGGAAATGAAAAAGATTAGAAAATCAAAATCACCAAAGCAACACAAGAAATTTACGTGGTTTACCCAAATCATAGGCTATGTCTACGGAGTCACTGCAGATTTCCAAGATCAATATGAAACGAGTTACAAGAGTCTCTCACACCCAATCTCACAAACTCTCTCTCTACAATGATCTATCTTTCATCCTCACTATTGTGTATCTCTCTTTAAGATCACAAAACTAATGAATCAAAAATATAGAGCTACATGGGTGTATTTATAAGGTAGCCTCAAACCCAATCCTGAAGTAATAATGAAACCAAAACTTAAACTAACAAGGAAAATCTTAACCAACAAGGAAATAGTTTAGAGTTCAAATCTAACCAAACACTAATTTTCTTGTTTCCTTTTCCTAATCTGATTAGGTTAAGTCTTGTTTCACGCTCCACCAACAACAAAGGGTGTGGAATAATGTTATTTCTATGGCTTATTCTAATTTGACTCTACTTAACTTTTATTTGGATAATGTTACAGTTGCGATTGTGGATGGAAATAGATTTCAGTTTTCGATGGACCAATGGATAGGTAATGTTAACATGAATAATGAATTTCCTATACTTTCAAGCTTATCAACTAAGAAGGAGGGCTCTTTAAGGTTGTAAGTTGACAAAAAAAAAGAGTAGCTTTGGTAGTTGGAATTTAAGCTTCATAAGGTCTCTATTTGCTTGGAAGAATAATCAAGTTAGTAGACTTTGTGATTTATTGGGATATGGACCATTAATAAGAGACCGGTATGTTGATTGACTCAAGTTATGGACTATTCATGGCTTAGTCAATCTTTATGAGATGTAAGTCTGCCCTTCTTTTGAATTTGTTAATCATAACATGAATAATATGAATTTTGATGATTTGTTTTGAGTATGTTTTGTTTTATTTTAAAGAGTGGATTATGATTGAAAACTTATTGTTTGATTTAATTATTATAATCTATCTTCCATTGGTGTTAAATATGTTATATGAAGGCCAAAATGATGATAAAATAGGTATAGAAACAAGCCCAGGATAGTAGCACAAAGCAGTAAATGAAGAACGCCGAGCCACCACAGGGTGGTCGACCGGCCGGTTACCCTGGATGATGATTGGCCAAGGTTCTCCTACCTAGTTTAGCTGCTATTTGGTGGACGTCCGAGTGGTCATCCGAGGGGACATCCGGGCGGACGACCACCTAATGTAAATGATGACTCTGGACATCCGGATGGACGACCACTGTGTATGAATTAGTTTTGTAATGCTCCTACAATGGCTATTTTTCAAATTCAACTTCACAACGGCTACATCCATCTTCCAACAGGAAAAACTCACATGTGCTAGAGACAAAGGCAGACATTAATTATATGTATATTATCTCACCATCACCAACGAGAAAAAACCAAGGGTAAGAAATAAAATTACTCAGCTCTATATATAACAAAGCTCTGAAGTGAAATGAAGATAGAACAGAGAGATAGAGAACTGAACCACAAGCTAGAAAAGTTTATTATTCTTCATCAATCTTATGCTCCATCTTCTCTGGTTTAATCTGAAGAGTTCCTCATCCTTGATACATCACTCATTTTCAGAAAATATATATTATAACGATTCTGGTTTAGACCCGACCCATCCGTTGCTTTCAGATCCGAGAATCCATGTACTCAATTATTGTTCATATCTTTTCCATCATAATACTTTCTTAGTTTGGCTATTGGGAGTTTTCGTTGTGTTTGAAACAAGTTGGGAAGTCAGTTTTCCAATAAGTTGTTGCTTAAATTTTTGCATGTTCCCTCGAGCAATGCTTCTTGCACTCAAGCGGTCTTTTACAGTCAGTAAAACTACTGAGAATGTGATATCTGCGCTCCAGAGGCACTTCTTGCACTCGAGCGATCTTTTGCAGTCTGTAAAACTATTGGAAGGGGGTCATGGTGCGCTTGAGAGGTGATTTTGGTCGCTTGAGC